GAATCTGAAGGGTGGTGTAATCAACCAAACGCTGCTTGAGGTGGCGTACCGCTTGAGTGTGTGCGTCTGTCCACTGGAAAGGGACTCCCTTGCGTGTGAGATCTACGAGTGGGCGGGCGACCCTAGCAAACTCCGGGCCCATGAACATGCGGCAATAGTTAACGGTGCCTAGGAACTGACGTATTTGCGTCTCGTTCTGCAACACCTCGGGCCACGCCTTAATGACTTGAATCTTGTCTGGTGCGGGTTTTATACCCTCCGCGCTAACGGTATAGCCCAAGTAGGTAAGCTCCCGCTTCGCAAACTTGCATTTAGAGAACTTCGGGTAGAATTGCTGATCGAGGAAAATACGTAGTACTTGTTGGAGGAGGGTAACGTGACTGGGAAGGTCGGGGCTGTAAATGAGGACATCGTCTAGATATGCAATGACTCCCTGACCCAATAAAGGCTGCAGGTATGCATTGATGTTGGCCTGAAAGGTAGCAGGCGCGCCCTTGAGGCCAAAGGGCATGACCTTATACTCGAATAACCCCACAACCGAGCGGAAAGCTGTCTTCCACCGGTCCTCCTTGGCCATTCTTATCTGGTGAAATCCCGACTCGAGGTCGAGTGTAGAAAAGTATCTGGCACCCCCCAGCATCTCAAGAATCGTTTGAATAGGTGGTAGGGGAAAGTCAGGCGCAATCGTAAGGGGGTTCAGCTCCCGATAATTGACAACCATGCGCATCTTACGCTCGCCTGTCTCGTCACTTCGCTTATCCACCATAAGCGTAGGAGCGCAGATCGGGGAGTAGGTGGGGCCTATCCACCCATTAGCGGACAGCTTAGCAATCTCCTGCTTGTGAAATAGAAGTTGTTCGGGGGTCATGCGATAGATCGCGGATTTCGTAGGGAGCGTTCCAGGCACAAGAAGAATGCGGTGATCGTTGGGGCGCTTCGGTGGCAACCCGGTAGGAAGTTGATCCGGAAAGACCGCACGGTGGGCACACAACACATCCAGTATCGCTCGGGGAGTCTCCTGCGCCTCCTCGGAGGTTAACCACGTGTCGAATTTCGAGTACTCTAGCTTGGCCGTTGGCCAAGGGGATGTTTCCTCGTCGTCGGGGAACGCGGAAACGGGCAGTGCCTTAAGACACTGTTGGCGGGGGTTGGAAGGGGAGGCTTCGACCAAGGCACAACATAAAGCCCCTTGCCACTCCTCCATTAGACGCACAGCCACATCCGACTCCATCGCGGGAAGCGTTAGCATGACGCTGAGCCCTTGAAGTGGGTGATGTATGCAAGCTGCACTCTCCGAAGCCTGCTGTAACAGGGCAGCGACCACTGCTTTCCGTTTGCCCCTTGGGGGTGGCTTATACCTCTTAGAGGGTGGGCTTAGGAGAGCCGTAGCTTCCTCCCTAGTCATGTCAGCCACCTGTTTAGCCAGTATGTCGTACGCCTGCTCGGCGGGGGTCCGCTGACGCGTCCCTAACGTACGGCCGTCCCGTTGTGTGGCGTCGGTGGCCCGAACCACCGGTAGATCGCACCACTGGCCGTCCACATACGTACGAAGCTTGTCTGACTGGAAATACCACGCTACCCTATGCTCCGTCAGCCAATCAAGTCCCACCACTAGATCATATGGCACCGGCCCTACTAAGAAGTCGCCAGCTAGGCGGGCCGTC